CTATCCACCAGAACGTGACACACCACTTCAGAGCGATGACAAACCGATATTTCTGACAGTCATCGTGATTTGTGTCTACGATAGTAAACTAAATAGGCTCTAGGAACAATACGTCATTATGGCCCACGCAAAGGGCGCCCTTAACTGATCGATCAAGCAAGATATTGGGCTAGGCAGTCCTACGAATATCATGTTATCTATGACGTAAGATATAGTGTGGTGTGGCAGAGATATTAGATATAATAATCCGACTTACTTTTACCTAATATTTTTTTATTAAGCTAGTGTAATAATAAACAAAACAATATTTATTTTTGTTGTGTCCCACAGTTTCCACTTCTACTCCAAACGCGTCAGGTTATAATGGAGTGTGTACTTTATCGTTTTTTAGTGTCACCATTAAGTTTGTGCACGCAAAGCATTAAACGATGATTTTATGATGATAAATAAAAAGACGATCAGCTGACGTCACTGTTAGGTAATTTGTTACCTGGTTACGGAAAACAAACATAATTTTTGCCGCGGGCTTGTGATACGGATCTAGATGTAATAAAATGGATTTTGGACTATGAAGCGATGTNAGCGATGACCAAGGTATAATCTAGTCTAGTAATCAAGCCATTTCGTTTAACATTCACTACTTGTTCTACGCAGACCTTGAATGATCAGCAATCGGAGCAGGAAAGTAAAAGGTGTCAGTGGGCAAGTAGCGTACATACTTAGTAGTGTTTTAATTGCCGCCTGGCACCGTGAGGCAACCGCGACCAGCTGTGGATCGATACTTCGAACCCACACCCACTGTCGATGGACGCATAGTTCATATTGAATACCTATCGTGAACGTGGACAAATATGCGAAAGACTAAGGTCAGGGAGAGTCTACCTAGTCAGTCAGGCAGTCTATAGGCAAAGCAAGAAACCTTTGAGATAACCATTTGAAGGAATGATCGACAAATTGATAGAACAACAGTCAATATGTTTTTTCTGGAAAATATAGCTCATATACATTATACATACTAAGTCGTCTCTACTAAAACTATACCCATATGAATATCATACTTTTCTTATAGGTATGATTATCCAATGCAGAGTCATCATAATGCAAACTCTACTTATTTTTGGGTTAGGCGTTTTTGTGCTAATTGAAACAATTCATTAGTGACTTATTAAAATCATTCTACGCACTATTNAATATTTCTTTCTCTTTATGTCAATTTTTAAATAATACTTCGATCATAAAATTAGGTACTACAACGCACGCCAGCGTCCTGACGGGCGCGCATGACACTCGACTGATATAATACCCGCCGGCGGGGCGCTTCGCTGTAGGTAATTATCGGATGTACCGCGCGGAGTGAGCCAGGCCTGGCACTATTCTCCAACATTTCTTCGCAAATTATTAATTAATACCTTCCCGAGTAATAAAGTGAAGGCCTTCCTTATTAATGTCAGAAAACATCGTCCAAAACGTGTAATTAATAAGTTACTTAGAGGCTAATGTGTAGCCATTTGACCGTAATAAGAAAGAAAATGAAATATTTATTAGTAGAGCAGAAAAGGGCATGGAATAAATTGCTCGAATCAACAACCGTCGAGGCAAAAAAGAAAATCTAGCGAAGCGAGCATCCTCGTGACCTGTCACGGATTAGGGATAGCAGAATTCGTAAAGGAAACCCAAGAATTAAAAGGGGAAGAAGGGTACGCATTGTGAATTGAAATATCAAAAATTGAACGACGTTTTTGATGTAATAGGTAACATTTTTCGGTCATATGAACCGCTATTTGAATTACTTTGTGAATTTTTCATAATATTTTTAATATCATCACCAATTCGCAAGGAAAACTTAAAATAAAATCTAGTCAAAGTCAAAGTCAAAATGTCTTTATTTGTTTGGACTAATAAATAGTTCTTACAAATCGTCATTTTGCTCTTAAGGAGCCTCTACATGTCTCATAATCTTTTTACCCTACCAGCGCTTCGAGACCAACATTTGGCAAGTGCTGAGAAGAAGCGCCGCAACAAACTCAGTCACCACTGTCTGCCGGTTAATATAAATAAATAGAAATAGTAGTAGTAGGTACATTCGATTCAGGAGCAGTTCACTGAATTTACCATGCATTCTTGTATGGTGTATCTTATAAGAATGGGTATACAAGATTGCGTGGTATATTAAACAAGGTAGTGACGTGCTAATATCTAGACTTACATATTAAGATACTAATATAGAATGCCCAAATCAGAAAATCCTAGAAATAAGTATCATTGGCACAGGAATACTTACAATACCAAACAATTGTATAGCCTACTGTAAAAGTACGAAATTAATACCTAAATTTAATAATGTAAAAATCAACACTACTGTAATTCAACCAGATTTTAATATTATAAATCAATCTTGTTGTACCCTAGATAAGTTTATAAATGTAATCAGTAATGATGAAGTCCCCTTGAAATTACAAAATATTGATTTAGATGTTTTTACTTTGGAAACGAAATCAAAATTAAGATCGATATCTGACCAAACTGATAAAATTTTAAATCAACATCCCCTTATTAAATACGAAACTCATTACTCGATTACACTCATAATCGTTATATGTATAATTTTAATATTTTGCATTTTAAAAATGTTTTTATGCATTAAATCGCGCAGCCGTCTAACTTACCTTTTCCCGAGATCCTCTCGCGCCAATCCTGAAAACTTACCTGTAGAACCAGCTCCAGCTCCTCCAACTCCCGAACCAGCCATTCCCTTGAAGATCATTAAACGTCATCCTGATGCAGAAGAAATCCCATCTCCTAGTATACGCAGAAATGTGTAAAACCTAAATTCTTACCTTTTCCGTTTTTTCCTAAACATCGCTCATTTCACCCCGATGTTTAGTCTACCCCCGGGAGGTGTTACAGATAGCCCTCGCACCCTATATTGCTTACTTGACATTCCGCCTTTTGCCGACTCATCCTTTTCCATCCATAGCCTGCGATACCTCGCATTTCCAAGTCAGTCTCATTCCACCATCCGAACTAGACGGCTGTCTTATCCTATTAATCTCGTGTTCTTTTTTAAAAACCCAAATCCTCTGAGGCTCATAACAGAACGACGTTTTTGATGTAATAGGTAACATTTTTCGGTCATATGAACCGCTATTTGAATTACTTTGTGAATTTTTCATAATATTTTTAATATCATCACCAATTCGTAAGGAAAACTTAAAATAAAATCTAGGTGTTCAATACACACAAATTTTATTGTTAGTCGTGAATGATGTAGGCACTTTTAGCATTACTTAACAGCTGGTACTTAACTATCCTCATGCTTAAATTATATTGCGTTACTATTATACTATTTAGGAATGCTACATGCATATAGAAGTAAACAAACATGGAAAATATTATAGTAAAATTTGGCATACAGCCAAATAGGTAGTGCCTTTCTGGCAAATATTGATGAAAGAAATTTAAAATTTCTAAGCTAACTACCTCAAAATAAGACAGAGCCTGCCTCTAGATGTAAAAGTGGCGTACCTATTCGTTTCCATAATGAAAATTTAATATTCCTATGTCATAAATGTAAGTCAAGTTATATGAGGGTAGGGTGAACCGAGTCACCCCTGAGTGCCCGCCAGTCGCGACCCCTCTTAGCTAGGTATTGCCACTCCACCGGCTCTTTTGAGTATAAAATTGCGTCGCGAATCAGGACGAGAACGTTTCTAGATTATATCGTCGACGAAAGCAGGCACAAAATGTTCTGGATAAATGGAACGACTGGAGATATCTCAAGATCTACAAGAGTGCTTTGATAAGTCAATTTGTAAGCAACTTTTAGGAGTGAATAACATTAAAATCGTTTCTTTAGGATATCAACCTAAATTAAACGTTATTTGAATGTCGATTCTCAATACTTTTAGAATAAAACTGACCCTCTTATTCGTCGTATAATGCAACCGTCTCACCGACCTTGTCTGGAAGGGGTCGCATTTAGCGATAAGACCGCCATTATAAATTCTTTAGTAAAGCTTACTTTGTGTGATGTACAAAAATAATATTATTATCATATTTAACATGATTAACACTGAACTGAAAAAACAAACCTGTACAGGTAAGCAAGTGTCAGCATAATTGCTTACCTAAATCTCTACATCCTCGTACAACAAGCTCTATGAATAAAATTGTTTCTATTCTTTGGTTTATTATATTGTTTCCCGTCTTTGTATTTTGTTTCAGCGTGCATATTTTCCGCGGTTATAAGCATAACCGCATAACCCTCGTTATTATTAATTTAATCTCCTTTTATTTAATTAACGAGTTCGTTAACTGAGAAAATATTTTACAGAGCAATGTCGTAATTGCTTACATAATTATTATATTATAAAGCCTGAAACTCGAACGCGTTATTTGAAAGCATTATGTTATAACGGATGACTCAGCAAACAGCTGGTTTGTTTGAATTTTGTTTATTGGCCAGTCTGTTGACGTTCAAAGATAACAAGATTTTTCAGGAAGGACTACACATCCATGCACTTTAAATAATCTCCTGCAACTTATATTTCAAGTACTATTTTATCAGATAGAATATGTAGTAAACAACATCCGCATTTGTTAAAAGTCTGGTTAATTACAATGGAGTATTTGCACAAATATCGTAGTTAGAACGTCAGCGGATACCAATATTGACATTGCATAATTTTCCTCGTTGCGATTACGCGGAGTTAACAAACACAATTAATAAATACGGTTAACTAACATCAGGTGAGCGTTTGTTGACACGCGCCGCGACCCACGTGAACTTCGCGCCGGGAATAAAGTTCAAAACAAACATTAAAATACAATCGACGGATGGGGCCGGCTCACATGTCACTTGGTCGTCAGCTAACTGGGTCAGTGTGGATGTTTCAATGTGCTGAAGAGCCAAACACTTCCGCCCGGCGATGCGTGAATGCAACCATGACCTAACCGAATATTGTGATGATGGATTGTTGACAATGTAACAGTTGGCTTACCTTGTTGAGGCCGGGGTGCTTGAGGCGGTCCAGGCCGGACAGGCGGCTGGTGGACTGGCCATCGCCGCTGCCCCACAGTCCGATGCGATCGCGCTCCATGACGTCGTACGTACACTTCCCTCCGCCGGCGGCTTGCGACTGCTTGGCGGCAGCGAACGGAGCGCCACTTTTGTCTCGGTGCGCGGGGGGCGCTGGACTCATCGCGGTCTCGCTCCTGGGAAAGCGGGAAAATTTTCAGCGAGATACGAACCACAACGCAGATACGAACCAGTGCGGTTGCGCCCGGCCGATAACAGATGGCGCGGCGCGGGGCAATGACACCAGCCGTGGGAATAATAACATTTGCGGCAATGCGTATACGGATGGGTCAGGGATGACTTGAGGTTACTTTTCAGTGAAAATACATGTAACAATACAATACGTCATGTGAAAGCGTTTTTTAATTTTTGTATTTAATTTCAAAACTATTGTTTTACTTAGAAAAAACTTTTCCGTTTATAAATAATATTCGCTCTACTTTGACAATATGGTGCACCAAAAAGTACCTACTATTATTTTATTTGTAAATATGTATTAAATTTTGTATTTTGTCAATCTATTTACCCTCAAATACCTACCTTCCTGTGGTAAACATACACAAGAGTGAGTGTGATCGAACTTTGCCTAAACATGAAGAGAACTTTGTTGTTCAAGTTTTTAACTCTGAACTCTCAAAACAACTTTTTCATATTAAATTGTTAACCCCGTAACAGCTAACACGGAATTCGAACGCATCATGTCCTACCCACGAGGCACGGTGGTGCGACATGAGTGACCTCTATTTACACGACCTCTTCAATGTTATCGATCTTAACGTGGACGCGACCCCTAGCAATTACAGAGGCCAGTACAGAAAACCTAACTTTAACAGTTTATTATCGACGTAGGTATCTTTATTTTCCTTTCAGAGGCAATTTATACGGTCTATAACTGTCTAATATATAGCCAGGGTCTAATTCTCTTAGTACCTACGCGAAAAAACCCCAAATAGAGAAAACTAAGTTAGTCATTAACTTATGCTAAAAGTTATTGTCATTATTAGGCATTCATTTCGAATAAAGAAAATTCAATATGAAAAATGTTTTCAGAGTTTTTGGATCAAATAGGAATTGTGTTATTCAAACTTCGGTCTATAGAAGAATTTGAATTATTAAACAGACTAGACTAGACGTTAAAAATACAGTCTTGAATTTTATTGTTGAAGACAGGATTATTTATTTCTTGTGAATAGCACAAAAGGGGTAAAAGCTTGAAAACATGATAGCATTCAAAAAACATTAAGAAAAAATCAAGCTTTCGCATTTTGTCTAATTTCAACATAAAAAATCCTTTTGCTACGAGTATGCTACGAAATCTACGAACATCTACAGATCTAAGCTGCCAAACTACGAAATAGCTACGAAGAATTTGACCTACTTATTAGGGATTTAAGTCGAGGTTCTGTAGTACCTAAGCAAAACCGCGGGGCACGCCATACCGTCCTGCCGACAGGGACAGCTCATATGAATCACACTGCAAAATTAATATTGTAATTATAAGGCAGATTTAAAAAATGTAGAACAACAATGTTGAACAAATGTTCAAAGTGCGTTTAACTTTTTGGTAAAAAATGACATGATTTTGAGAACGAATTTTGTTCTCCTTTATATATTTTTTTAGTCTTACACCTTATTTATTTTATTTTAAGAATGGGTTTTCCTCTCAAAATAAGATTCAACAAGTCAGTAAAATAAGATTACTGATTCTAGTCAAACATGAGTGAGCCTAACGCTATTAAGTTACACTACGTCTCTACAAGCCTGAATTTTATAAAATATTGTGATACAAATTTAGGTATTTACTATCTATCTATTTTTACTCATTTTTACTCCTGTATCTCTACATGAAGTATCTTATTTGAGACTATGGGAGACTACTGCAGATTTTATTACTATACAGAAAATCCTGGATAATTTAATTACCGTAAGTTAGACTTGTTGACGACAGCTGTTTTAACAGCCTGCGAGATTACTAAAATACAAAAAAACTGATGTTGCAGAATAAATATAAAATATTAATCGTTTTAAAAAAAAATAAAAAGTATTTACTGGATTGAATCCTCTTTCTTGATGACATTATTTTAGCTTCCCTTTAATAATATAGTTTTCCAAAACGAAAAATTTTATAATTCAGTGTAAAATTGTGCAAAGTATATAAAACTCACCGTTTTTTGCAAATGTCTCCTGCGCCGTTCATCTGACGGGTGTCAATTTGGCTGTTAGATTTGACTTTGCGAGAAAGGAATTCCATAGTAAATAAAAAAAATAACCGAAAAGGAGATCAAATATTATCACAGATACCCAAATAACTTTAAAAAAAGTTTTACTAAAGGTAAGAAATTTTTAAAATAATTTTTAGATTGAGTTTTAGAATTTAATTGGACATTTTCTTAATACAGTGCCATTGAGCTCTGCCGAACTCGAAATGACGACTGAAGGTTGGAAGCTGCTGATCACGCTAATATCAGCAGACATCGACTCGCTATCTATCCATACCTATTAATCGTTGGACTACATAATAAATAAAGATTTTTTTAGTCACAATAAATATTTATCTCACACTCACTTAAAAATGGCTGATATGATGCCATTTTGAACAAACCGCATAGTATCTCTTCGTGCGGTGTAGTTGTTATTGTAGGTAGTAGGATGTGCGACGTGATTTATTAATTATTGGTAAATATAAAAACACAAAGTATTGTAAGTTTTGTAGTTTTGTAATTTTCCGCATATAATTGGCTTAAAAGTCATCATTTACTCGTACGTATTTCATACCTGTGATAAGTTTAACGAATAAATCAATTCTTAATTCTAAGCTACGCGTATGAATTGCTAGCCAACTTCCTCTGAAATACTTAACTTTTATTAACCTATCTTGACAATTAAGTTAGTTATTTGATTTTCCTGATTAATTTAACACCGGATGCAATTTGTCCTAAATTAAAGTAAATTATGAGAATAAAGTTAAGACTGGTCAAATGTCGGAATGTGATACAAGCCGTGCACATGCGTGGCACGCGGGTCGCGTCAAGATCACGGCAAGGTCGCGCGGCGCACGCGCACTCGCCCACTGCGGCTGATCGCGTGACGCCTCGCGCCTGGAGAAAGGGCGCTAGAAAGCTGCGCAGGGTCATTAGGGTTTATCTTGGTGTATACTACGGATGGTCATCCAGGGGAGGCGCAAAAAATTTCCCGTGGTACAGACAGGGTCAGGTGCTACGAAGGTCTTTGTTTGATTCGTAGCAAAGCTAATTTTGGCTAAAGTTGGAAAAGAAGAAGCTTTTTTGTCCATTTTTTATACAACGAACTAAATCTCTCTGCCCTCTCATGGTTTTAATATTTTTCTTATCTATTCTGATATAATAATAGTAATTATTTAATTAGCTAGTATATTACATATTTTTTTGTTATAAAATACTTTCAAGTAAGTTAAGTCACTTTCTTAAGGAAGCTTATTTGTCTCTTACTCTTAACTTATACAAAATAAAAACACTTGTTTTTACAAAGTTATCACAATAAACAAGTTAGCTAACTATCTCAATTTAATTTCGTAGCGTACCTACTACGAAAATAGTTTATTATCGTGAACGCGGATGAAACTAAGTTACGACGATGGTAATTCGCTTCTTGGAAAAGCTGTCTGTTATGCATAATATACTTACCATTAATTACTTTACAGTAACAAAAGTAACTACATCTATACTAATATTAAAAGCTAAAGAGTTTGTTTGTTTGTTTTTGTTTGGTTGAACACGCTAATCTCAGGAACTACTCTGGTTTGATTTGAAAAAATATTTTTGTGTTGGATAGCCCATTTATCGAGGAAAGCATATGCTTTCCTATTTAGGCCGTAGGGTGATGTTACATATGTAACATCACCCTACGGCCTAAATAGGTGCGGAGCAGTAAGAGAAAAATGTTGCGAAAACGGGAAATATTATTCGAATTATTTTCACGCGTACGAAGTCGCGCGCAGCTATCATAGGTATTAATAATAACTACATAGATTCAATTTTGAGATAGTTTAGACCTGAAGCTTCAAAATGTTAACTAAGATTATTTAAATGCGGATTTATCAGGCTCAGATATTTAATTTAGTTTTTAGTTAACACAACATTTATATTACACCTGACAGACATAGTTGTATAACGAGTGCAAGAGGAAATATACTAGATCGTTAACAACTGATAAGCCCATGATAACGACTGTTTATATACGTATAGTGCACATACATGTAGGTACATAGCTAGTATTAACCTGTTATGCATATAAGTATGTGTAATATGTGTTATGTTTGTAGATCACGTAGAGTTAAAAAAAAATTCATTGAACTGGTTATGAATTTATTGTTTTTGCTATACTAAGTTTTCAATTGGATTTTACAATCACAGAAAGTCATCAATCTCAAGAAAAAAAAGAAAATGAAATTGTAAGAACCTAACAACTTACATGCGTTAAGTACCTATATGTATTTTAAACAACTATGCATTCATAACTTTGGTAGCCAATACAATTAAATATTTAATAATTGTTGTAATTAAGATAGTAGGCTCTTTGATTAAGTTATATGGTTTAATATTGTGTAAATAAACATATTTAGGTGGTAGCACTATTTAAGCATCAATAATCGCCTTTAAACATTTACTAATTACTACTTCCACTTGAGTTCGTACGGTTTTGCCCGCAATTTCATAAGGTTTATAGAGCAAACTGATGTTTACCCATGGAAAGTGGTTCGCAGTGGTTCGAAAAGTGTCTACCTCGAAAGAACATGAACTTCCGTTAATGTAGGAGGAACTACTTCAAAAAAATACTCGTACACCATTTAGGTAGGGTAAGTCTTATAGTATGTAAGTAGTTGTTCTTGCCTCATAAACTAAATCGGATGACAGAAATTAAGTCCCTCGCCGGTCTTACGAAATAATTGCCGGCAGACAGTCTTCATACTAACCACCAGCTGACGTGGCGACGGTGTCGTTGCAAAATCACAACCGCAAAAAACGCTACTTGTCGTTTAATCACACACTTTAACATTTGTTCGAGCGCATGATTTAAAACTCTATTCTTGATAGCAATCAAACTATGTTACGTTACATTACATATATTTAAGTTATATACTTATGATTCATCAGTGTTTAGCTTTAGGTACATAAAGGGTGACTATAGTAATGAGTAAACACCCTTGTCAGGTAGTATATGCCGTCGTCTGTATTACTTGAACCTCTAAAATATATTACAGCCGAAATGACTTTCTGTACAATACAAACAAGTACGTTTCGTAGATTTTACAGGTTGATCGATTGATTGACGAATAAGCATTGTAATGTTTGTTATTTAGCAATAATTATGTGCTCTTCACAAACAAATCAACATAATATTAGGTTTCTCAATTTNAAAAACGCAACTTGTCGTTTAATCACACACTTTAACATTCGTTCGAGCGCCTGATTTAAAACTCATTTCTTCGATAGTAATCAAACTATGCTGTACGCTACATTTTATACTTTAAAATAGCTGTGCCGTTTCCGAACCCGTTTTCGCAACATTTTTCATTTTTGCTCTGCACCTATTACTCGTAGCGTAATGGTAGCCTACAAGCCTTCCTCAATAAATGGGCTATCTAACACTGAAAGAATTTTTCAAATGGGACCTGTACCTAGTTCCTGAGATTAGCACGTTCAAGTAAACAAACAAACAAACTCTTCAGCTTTATAATATTAGTATAGATAGATGATTCATCAGTTGAACTTTACATACAGGGTGACTATAGTAATGAGTAAACCCTTGTAAGGTAGTAAAATCCGTCGTATGTATTTATTTGAACCTCTAAAATATAGTTACAGCCCAAATGTCTTTCTATACAATTCAAACAAGTACGATTCGTAAATTTTACAGGTTGATCGATTGATTGACGAATAAAATCATTGTAATGTTTGTTATTTAGCAATAATTATGTGCGCTTCACAAACAAATCTACATAATATTAGGTTCCTCAATTATGTTGACAGGTTGATGTTTTTCGTAGAGAAAGTGTTGACAAGTGCCGATTAACTGCTATTAATTATGTTTACACAAGCTTAATCGTCACTTAAAATAGACACACAACAGAATATCAGGATATACAAATACAAGAAGAGTAAAAAAAACAAATTAAGGGTTACTACTACAGTTCTACTACTACTTAGGTGGACCGACGATCTGGTAAAGGTCGCGGGAAGAGCCTGGATGCGGGCAGCGCAGGACCGTTCATTGTGGAAAACCTTGGGGGAGGCCTTTGTCCAGCAGTGGACGTCATTTGGCTGAAACGACGACGACGACGACGACTACAGTTCTCCTTATCACGGAAGGATATATAAAACTCGAAAAGTTATCCTCCATTGTCTCTACATTGATAGTTTAAGGGAGCAAGCGGAGGTTTTAGTCTACTTAGAGATCTAATCAGCCGATATTCAGTATGTAATTGGCAACAGAATCCCATATTTACTCTGTTGCAGTCTCCATTGCATTACTTAAACTAAAATCTTATCTTAGACTAAAGTTTCTCAATAAATACAACATGATGTGCTTATGCATAAGAAAACGTTTAGTCATTTCTATTATTTTGCAATGACTACCTTACATGAGTAGCACTAGCACTCAATACCGTATGCGAAATAAATTTGTGCAGCACAAAGGTTGTCAAAGTCGCAATAAGAAACTGGGTCGACACCTCAATGGCGAGGATATGCGGATCCGCGAGTAATGGCGGCGATCAATCTAGGCGTCGTTGTGTCTGACAGACTCGAGGTAGACCGAGAGCTGACTAGATGTTGTCTGACATTATATTTATATTTTTAAACCGGCAGACAGTGGTGACTGAGTTTGTTGCGGCGCTTCTTCTCAGCACTTGCCAAATGTTTGTCTCGAAGCGCTGGTAGGGCAAAATGAATGAGACATGTATGTACGAGTATGTGCTTAAGAGCATTTGACGATTTGAAAGTAGTACATAATTTAATTAGTCTAAATAAATAAAGATAATTTCGATTTGATTTGAACCAGTTTTCTAACCATTGGCATTTTAGCCTGGCATGCGACAACGATAAAAACTTTTTTATTACCTCTTCAATGTAAATGGTACTAATAGGTCAAAAAGGAACTTAATGAATTATTGTAATCGAAAACTGAGGAAAAAGATGAACTTCATAAAGCTCATGAATGGTAGCAGATAGTAATCTAGCTCTTAGACTGTAAGAAAGATCTGTAGATTAGTCACCAGTTAGAGTGACCTACACATAGATAGGTAGGATAGGATTAGACCAGCTTTTCGAAGACGTAGTTAACACTTTATGAAGATCTAAGAGAATAGATTCCAATCATTGATCCTACTTATGTATAGTTTCGATTCAATATGTAGAGACAACTTTTTTGGTTTATTACTATTTGTTCCCAGATCCC